TAACATATAATTTTGGAGAAAAAGTTTCTTAAGATTATCTCAAAATCTATATTTTTAGACTCCAAAACTAGTTAAAATCAGGTAGATCTATAAACATATGAAAATCTTGAAAATGGATGGTCTAGATGCACTATTTCTAGGACTCAAAATCTTTTTGTTTTTTCAAATTCATACATCTTGATGTCAAGATGATCAATTAGAGGTTTTTTCAACATTAAAACAACCTTTTCCGATGGATTTTTTAGGTGCATCTATAATTTTACATTTTAAGGTTACACCCTTATATAATGAGACCATTTACCTTTGGTATAGGGAGTTCACAGTTACTTACAACAATCCAATGTGAAATTTGACAGCTTGGGTGTGTCAAAGATAGTACATGTTTAAAATTGTACTCTGTCCCCTCTCGGGAATACACCCTTTTTCTCTCTCCTTCATATGGCATTGATGCCTATATATATATATATATATGTGTGTGTGTGTGTGTGTGTGTATAGGGTGCTCACATGATAGAGTAATTTATCATTGTACTCAACTAATTTGGACACTTCTAAAAAATTTTACATGAAGAAATTTATCTTTAAAATGAATATTGTATCAAATAACTATAAATTCGATACATTATTTTGGAAATATTTAATTAATTAGATCTATGAATCGTGTCAATGGAATCAATATTCGAAAATAAAAATCCTAATCTCAAAGTCAGACATGCAAAATATTATAAAAAAGAATGCAAATATTTAATATATAACACTAACTGAATAATATATATTTTTATAATTACCTAAAATCGTAGCTTATTCGAATAGTTTTAAAAATCCATAATGAAGTCAAAATGCACATTTACGAAGAAATTTGCAAAAGAACATTTATTATCCGAATTAATTCCAATGTTATCCATGTTAATGCAAATATTTAATGTATAGTTCTACTAACTCAAGAATATAAACTCTTTTAGTTACCTAATAAATAGTCATATTATAATATTCTTTATTTGTTGGAATTTGATTCAATTATTTGTTGGAATTTGATTCAAGAAATACAGTTAAGCTTTCATTAAATCTTAGATTTATCTACAAAATGAGACACATCGAAATGAATGACTGAGAATAGTTAAAAAATTCAGCAATATTGCAAATATTACACAAATAATCTCGAGCAACTTGATCTACAGAACCTCAATCAGCGAATCATATTAGGACTTCTGGAGATCACTCAAAGATCTACAAAAACAAACAAAAATAACTCAATTGCACATAATATTCTGAAAAAAATTCGATTCCACAGAGAAACTATGGAGAACATGATGGAAATTACTGAAATGTAGGCAAAAACAATGAAGAAATACATAGATATGTAGAGAAAACGGAATATTATTTACCTTGTAAATCACTGAAAGATAACTCAATTTCACATAATATTCTGAAAAAAAATCAATTCCACACAGAAACTATGGAGAACATGATGGAAATTACAGAAATGTAGGCAAAAACAATGAAGAAATACATACAAATGCAGAGAAAACGGAATATTATTTACCTTGTAAATCACTGAAAGATCTACAACAACAAACAAAAAAACTCAACTCCACATTGAAACTAAGGAGAACATGATCGAAAGGATCAACAAGTAGGCAAAAGCAATGAAGAAATGCATAGAAATGCAGAGAAAATGGAAGATGACATACCTTGAAAATCTAAAATTTTGTTTTCACAGTACATCCGTTGAGAACATCTTGAACAACTTGATCACAAAGCTTCAATCAACAAATTATGTTAGGGCTTCTATTGATCACTTAAAGTTTTACAAAAACAAACAAAAATAAAAATCATTGCCAGAAACTAAGGAGAACATTAGGGACATGACTAAAAATGTAGGCAAAATCAATGAAGAAATACATAGAAATGCAGAAATCATAGATACACAACTAAATATTTATACTAAATTGAACCTCATTTATCATCAAAAAAATCATAAACCATAAATTTGGGGAGAGAATAAATGAGAGGAGAGAGAGATGTGTATATTTAATAAAAAAACTGTTGAGTGAAATATGAATGTTGCTTTATATGTGAGGCGAGAGAGAATGGAAAATGCTTAATTGAGAGATAATATAGAAACCTGTTGGAGAGAAGAGAGAGAGAGTTTGTTGAGAGAGGAGAGAAAGAATAGAGTTTCCGATAATAGATATAATGCTATAAATAGAGAGTTATGATAAATAGAAGAGAGATTTTAGGAAAGAGGAGGAGAGAGATAGAGGAAGATTGATGATATAAATAATAGAAAGAATCTATGGGGAGGGAGAGAGTTATGATAAATAGAAGGTAGACAGATTTTAGGAAAGAGGAAGAGACAGATAAGAAGCGTAGATGATATAAATGAGAGACAAATTGTTGTGAGGGGGAGAGAGAAATAGGAAATGGGATAGAGATTTTATGAAAGAGGGAGAGAGAGAAACAGTAGATGATATAAATAAGGGAGAAATGAGAGATTTTAGGAAAATAAATGGGAGAATGATTTTTAGGAAAGAGGGACAAGAGTAATAGAAACGGTAGAGAGGAAAACCATAGATATAAATAAGAGAGAATTGAGGAAAGATGTAAGAGTTTTTTAATGAGAGAATGGCACATGACACAAAAATAAATGGAGTCCTCTCGCTTAATATATAATAGATAGATATAGATATATATAGGCAGCAATTTCGTATGAAGGAGAGAGAAAAACGGTGTATTTTCGAGAGGGGACAGAGTACAATTTTAAGCATGCATTATCTTTACCTGCTTTTCTTAGAATATGTACAAAGCAAGCTATCTATGTGCTTGTATTTACTTTCAATTTATAGTAATGTAATAGGTAACTTAGTCTTTGTTAGTGATGCAATATATGTGACAGTAGATTGTTTTGGGGTCATATTATTTGTAAAGGTGACTTCAATTTAGTTTCCTTGTTCTATAAAAAAAAGGAAAGTGGGATGCATTATAATATTTTATTTTGGTTGAAATTTGGAACTAGCCTAATTCTTTTATTTTTGAGAGATTTATCAAAATACACATAAGAGAACCTATTTAACATTTTACCCATTTTTTCTTATTTAATTTCAAAATACCCATCCGAATACACATGACCATGAGTTGGAATACTTGAAAAAAGGTAAATTGTTGAACAGCCACCAAAGACCATGAGTTGGAATAGTTGAGAAAGGGTAAATTATTGAATTGTTGGAAAGTTTATTTGGATAAATTTCCCTTTAGTTTGCAAGATACCATTTTTATGTGTCTCTCTCTCAGCAGGCATAAATCACATATTGAGTTTTTGTTTTTTGGTGATCGTGGACTGCCAAAATGATGTGGCCAGCCTAGTCGCTTCATTTGCTTTCATGTTATCTTTCCACTAATCTGTGCATGAGGGATAATACTATATGCAATATTATCATCACTTAATGAACTGCCTCAACAAGGAATCTTGAGTGATTTCCCAAGTTAATTTCATCATATATTCTCTTAGTGAAGCTATGAGGAAACCATCCGATTATCTTAGTAGTGTCTAATGATGCAAATTTGTTATTGTCTCTTGGTCTTTTGTGTGTCTTGTAGTGCAGGGTTTAGTTTCTTATATTTATGAGACTATACTGTTTCACCTTCAAAAAATGTAAATAAGAAATGTATCTCTGAACATGAGACTGAGAATGAGAAATGACATCGTGTTCAATAGAACAATAAAAGTTGGCCTTCTGCTGCTTTCTTATCATTCTATCTTCAGGATGGTACATTGAAAGAATATGCGCATTCCACACTGACTTCTATTAATAAAGCTAGCTCTCAAATAAAGAAGCCCCCTCACCGTAAAAGCGCATCTCCTTTACATTGGTTCCCTCGAAAGAAGACTGATTCCTACTTAGAGAGGAAGTTACGGTTGCTACGGGTATGGTACTTTTTCCTTGTTGAACTTCTTGGATGCACTTTTTTGTTGAAGATTACGTCAGGAACTAATAATAGTGCTTTAGTTACATATGAACTCAAGATTTGTTTCACTATAAACTAATAATAAAGATTTGTTTCAGGAGGTTGGTGGCATGAATTCCAGTCTCGGTGAGACCTTAGGTGATTCAAATCCTCATTATTGCAGGGTAGAGAGAGAAAAAATAGCAGCAAGATCTGCTGCACGAAAGGCCATGGAGGCTCGTAAAGCTGCGATGGTGGAAGCATCTTGGTGCCGGATCCTTAAAGCAGCCAGGTACCTTTTCTGCGTGATTTTATTACCCGCTTGCACTGAAATCTAATTCTTGGAGTTTTCATTTCATTCATTATTTTCTTGTTTTTCTTTTGATTTCCAGGATCAATAGCAAAGAAGCTGAACTGCAATTTGCAAGAGCAGAAAATTTTTCATTTGAAGCTTTTCTAGCAGCAACAGCTGTCGGGGTTATAATGTATGATAAGCCTGGCAGCACTAAACGGCCATCTGAAGTCGAATCTCCATCAATCACTGAAGGAGGTTCTACTCATGCCTTTGCTGCATCTTTTGAGACTGCTTTTGAGGTCGACAAAGAAGTTGCAGCTGCAGTGAAGACTGCATTCGTTCGACTGGCCAACCTCCCTTGTTCCTTTCACGGAGAAGAATTCAGTGAAAGTCAAGGTTTGCTTTTTAAAATCAGCCAGAACCCAGATGGAGATATACGGAAGGATCTCTTATTATCAGAGATATCTTCAGAGGGAGAAACTGAAACTGGGTCAGAATCAGAAGCCGACCCATATTCCACCAATTTGGTGGATGCAAATCACAAAACCGATAAACTCAAAACTAGGAGAGTAAAAGATAGTAGCTATAGAAATCATGCTTCAAAGAGGTCTACTTTTTCTATGGCAGCATTAGTTGATATGATGTTTGAGAGGCTGAAGCTTTTGGGACCAGATGAACTTGCTTCCCTTGCCAGTATAGTTGCCACTTGTGGTTTGAGTGCATTGCTTGAAGTGGAAAATAACAAGCAAAGGCATCCTGAATCTGATCATGGTGGTCTAGTACAGTTGGGAGCTGAGAAACACTCCCATGGAGTATCCCTTACTGAGGATATGTATCTGAGGAAGAAACCCGCTGAAACTGAATTACCAAGTCTCGAGAACCTTTTGGTCAAGCATGTCACAAAATTAGAGAGAGAAGTCCTAGAATCTAGAAAAAAAATTCGAACTGAAGAGCAGAAAGGAGATGAGAAGGATGATGTTGGGGTTTTAAAACTGGGTTTAGTGCAAAAAAAGGAAGATACCAAGGAAAGAAGTCTAGACCAGATTTTAGTCAAGCATGTTCATAGATTGGAGAGGGACAAAATGCAGGCAAAGGAAGCAGGCAGGGATCATATAATCCAAAGAGACCAGAACAAAGCTCAGAATGCAAATTATGAAAGTTTGGATAAGATTTTAGTGAAGCATATGTGTAGACTTGAGAAAGAAAAGGAATTGCATTCAATGCAAACAAGCACTGGGACAGTGAGGGAGAAGAGAGGAGATGGGAAGGATGATGTTGGGGTTTCAAAACTGGGTTTAGTGCAAAAAAAGGAAGTTACCAAGGAAAGCAGTCTTGACCAGATTTTAGTCAAGCATGTACATAGATTGGAGAGGGACAAAATGCAGGCAAAGGAAACAGGCAGGGACCATATAATCCAAAGAGACCAGAGAGACCAGAACAACGCCCAGAATGCAAATTACGAAAGCTTGGATAAGATTTTAGTAAAGCATGTATGTAGACTTGAGAAAGACAGAGAATTGCATTCAATGCAAACAAGCAGTGGGATAGTGAGGGAGAAGAAGAAGACTCCTCAATATGAGAATGTTGGGGAGAGCTTGGATCAAGTATTGGTGAAGCATGTTTCGAGGCTTGAGAAGGAGAAAATGTTGTCTTCTCAACAATTATTAACAGTACAGAAAAAGAGTCGAGATGTTGAGAATGTGGAGGAGAAGAAGAATGCTGGGGAAAGCTTGGAAGAAGTATTGGTTAAACATGTCTCCAGGCTTGAGAAGGAGAAGTTATTGTCAGCTCAACAATCAATAGAACCCATAAAACATTGGGATACTGGTTCACAAGATTTGGGCCAAAATGCATCGATTTCTGACTATCGAATAGGAGGCAAGATGAAAACTCTCTCTCTCTCTCTCTCTCCTCTCTCTCTCTCTCTCTGTCGTGTGTGTGTGTGTGTGTGTGTGTGTGTGTGTGTGTGTGACAAGCACACAGTTCACACGTATCTGCAGACTGCATCAAAGTTTCGAAAGCGAACGGTTGGGATACTGGTTCAGAAGATTTGAACGAAAATGTTCTGATTTCGTTCTGGAGTCTCTCTTTCTCTCTCTATCTCTGACCAACACCCCCCACTCCTTCCCTTTTTCTCTCTGACCCATCTCTTTTTGTGTGTTCACACCTATGCATGCACAAACTATATTATAAGTATGAAAGCAAAGAATGACTATATATGTTCTCTATGGTTATTTCCAGGAACCAATCATGGGGGAAATTCTGCTCCTGCAAATGATATCATGAGCCTCAAAACTCGTAGATATCAGAGGGAAAGAGAGATGCAGGAGGCATGGGGAGGTCTAAGCTTAGGAAATTCTCTAAAGCCTCGTCTTTCAAAACTTGAGAGGGACAAGGTGAGTTTGATTTCCTTAGTTGGATTATAGCGACGTTGTAGTAGTTGCATCTTACATTTACAATGAATGAAACCACTGATTTTATATTAATCATTTTGCAGGCTGCATGGCGTCAAGCAGAGGACGAGGAGCGAGGGCCATCAAGGGAACAGTGAAGAAAATTCAAGGTAACAAGAAACAATTTTTACTGGATATTGGCTTTTGGAAATTGAAAGAGTCATACAATGAGAGACCATTACGTTTTCGTATGCAGCTCTCAAACACTTCAAGCAAACAGATAAATTTGGATGGCTGGGGTGTGTCATTTCTCCAAAAAACATTTGTCAGACTTAGTGCAGTCAATAGGACATCCATAGCCAGTGGATTTTAAGGTGGACGGCCAAGAGTGATTGTAACCTTTTTATTACTAAAAGGCAAACAGTTAGATCCATGAACGAAGATTGATTTTCTATTGCATGAGTGCCATATCATGTTGCTCCATGTTGAAGATGTCGACATTTTTTCTGTTTACTTTCATAATTGAAAAATATTCCAATGGATAACTGCTTAAATCAGTCGTCTATGTTCAGCAATCTTGTTCTTGATGTTCCTATGAGATATGTAAACATTGGTGTCCATAAGATGCTTAAATCAGTCATATATGTTCAGCATTCTTTTTCAAGATGTTAATATGAGATATGTAAACATTGATTTCCATAAGATGCAGTTTCTATAAAAGGCCGACCTTACAGAAATAAAAGTAAAGCCTCAACTCAAAATCTTGTCTGGAAAGTATTTGGGGCATGGAGATCCCTGAGGTGAGTCTAAGATCTATTTCTACCACGAATTATGAAATTTGTAGCGCAAAATATGATACAGATCTTGTGGATCCATAAACACTTGAAAATTGGGCGGTCAAGATGTGTAACAATATATACTATTTTTAGGGCATGAGATTCTGTTTTTTTTTTATAATGATCAAGGTCAGATGACTAATTTGAATGTTTTAATTTTGAGATGAGGCTTTACTTTCATTAAGATCTTAGCTAGGTTGTTACAACATGACATCTAGAATTATATTCTTAACAAGGTCTTCAGTCAAACATCGGAAAAAAAACAAAAATAAAAAGGCGATTGATACCCATTCCTAACAAGGTCCTCAATCAAACATCGGAAAAAAAACAAAAATAAAAAGGCGATTGATACCCATTCGGAAAAACTGTATCATTCTAGTACAAGTTGTTAGGGGATCTAGAACCCTCTTAGATGTGGAAGCAGAAATTCCAAAAGTTGGACCCCATCAAGATCGTGTACTTATCCAACAAGAAACAAAATAGGAGAGAGCACGAACCATAATACAAGAAATAAAACATCAAACAAACGCACCACAATAAAACAAAGATTTATGTGGTTCACTCTTAAACAAAGATTTATATGGTTTACCCTAAAAGGGCTACATCCATGGGCATGGCAAATCGAAATCCGCTATATTAATGAAAGTTACATCACAGATTTTGGGAACACAGAATTACATCTCTAACCCTCGACAAAACCCAATCGAGAAAACCCTTTTAGACCTTCTCTCCCGATCAGCACGACTCGTCAATCTTTCATCTCTATTATTCCACAGCTAAACCATTGTCTAGGAAGAGACTAATCTATATTCCACAGCTAAACCATTGTTCAGGAAGAAACGACACAGAGTTACCTCTCTAACCCTTGACAAAACCCAGTCGAGAAAACCCTTTTAAACCCACTCTCCTGATCGGCACGACCTGTCGATCTCTCATCTCTATTATTCTACAGCTAAACCATTGTCTAGAAAGAGACCAACCTCTATTCCATAGCTAAGCCACTGTCCAGGAAGAAACGACACAGAGTTGCCTCTCTAACTCTCGACAAAACCCAGTCAAGAAAACCCTTTTAAACCCGTTCTCCCGATTGGCACGACCTGTCAATCTCTCATCTCTATTATTCAACAACTAAACCACTGTCCAAGAAGAGACCAATCTCTTTCCATTGTTCAGAAAGAAACCCTTGAGAGCAACTAAGATTTTCTCTCATTAAAAGGAGAAACTACCCAACCCTTGAGAGCAATCAAGACTTTATCTCACTAAAAAAAAAAACTACCAAAAATCTTCATGAGAATCGCTTATCTGCAAGAAACTAACGTCACATTCTATATTAGGCACATCATAATGTTTCTCTCCATAGGAAAACTATCTCTAAAGTGCACGGTGTTTCCTTCTTCTCTCTAATGTAGAGGTTTCTTTCTTCTCTCTAATGCAGAGAAGAAGGCCCTGCATAGGAGGCACAATATTTCTTTCTTCTCTTTAATGCAAAGGAGTTATTTCTTCTTTTTAATGCAGAGGAGGAGGAGGCCCTGCAGAGGAGCCACAGTGTTTTTTTCTTCTCTTTAATGCAAAGGAAGAGGCTATGCCTCTTTCTTTAAAGGAAGCCACATTTATCATATGGTGATCTAAATAGTCTTTCATATTTCATCCCATATATATAAGATTAGAAATCTACACTAAATAGGAAACTTTTTATAGGTGTTACACATATCTCAAGAATCAATAGATATATCCCAAAGTCCTAATCTTTTTAGAAATATATTTCCTTTATAAAACTTATCAATATCAATCCCAGTATCTCAATCTCAATCCCGCATGATATGAGATTTCCTTATGTTTGGTGATTTTTTTATCACAGTAGCCGATACAAGTAACCATATCCAATACAAGTAACCCACGTATGTTACCCAGCATTCAGGTGAATAGTGTGGATGAGTGCATTAATTGCTCTCGTCTCCACGATCCGTTAAGTCATTCTTAAACTAACTAGGTAACCCAATCTGATCGTAATTAAAAAGCCCCTTTAAATGGACCATTAGACCCGTTTAATACTTTCTTGTGTATTTCTTAAACTATTCCTTGACATTTTTGTGTACAATATCCAAAAATTGCAAAGAAGGCAATACGTGTGACCTTTACACAAAATGATTTAAATTTAATTGTTTCAAGAGAAAAGTTTATATAGAGCCAAGGCTCTAAACAATCAAATTAGAGTCTACCTCAAAAATTCCAGTAGAAGATGTTGTTTTGATGCCCACGTATCTTCAAATTGATCATCTCGACATCAAGATGCATGGACATGAGAACAAAATGGATTTTAAATTTTGAAAATGGTGTATTTTGTAACGCATTTTTTTACCGTCAATTTTCAAGACTTTCAAGTTTTTATAGATATGTCGATCTACGCTATTTTTGAAGCTTTAAACTTTGTAAATAACGATGAAAATATATTTTAAGGCTATGACAAAGATTTTCAATATTAAAACCATATTTTTCGACACTATTTAGAGGTAGGCTCTAATTTGATTGTTTAGAGCCTAGGCTCTATACAAACCCCATCCTTGTTTTAAGGATGCAGTTTTTATAGGGCCGCAGCCATCAGCACCGTCCCTCCATGTATTTGGACGGTGCAGATCTCGCATGGTTACCGATGAAGGAAACAGGGCCTGGTTGCCCATCCTTTCATTTCTATTTTCCCCAGCCATCCGCCCTACTTTAAATTTCTCAAAGAACACATGAATCTACGACATTGTATTGTTTTGGCTGCACCTTTTGTTCTAGGTTGGTTTTAGGATGAGCTCAAGGGAGAGAAACCCCCAAGGAGATTGAATAATAGAGTATGAAGGGCTATTGCTTTAGTTTTCATCTTGAAGTTGCATACAAGTTCTTAGAGTCAATAATAACAATTTAGAAACAGCTGATTTGGGGTTTTAGTTAGTTTTGTAGTACTCTGTTATGGAATGATAAGTCTCTATTATGGAGATGGAGTAAGGGTTTTGGCTTCTGTTTCCTGTATGATTACTGCCTAGTATTTTTTAGGTTCAAGTGGCTTGCTTCTTGGGCTGAAATAGGGGTCTTTTTCATTTCTACTAAATATTAGGCCTACTTTCCTCCCTTTCAAACAAATTGAAATGATTAAAGTTTTTCTATTTGGAATCGTGTTAGGTCTAATTCCTATTACTTTGGTTGGATTATTTGTAACTCCATATTTACTATACAGACTAACATATTTATTGTTTTTCTTGTGTGGTTTCAATTGACTCTAATGTGTTGTTCAGTTTCTCGACTGTGTTGTTGAGTTTCTCGATTTTGCCTTCACATTACATGGGGAGAGAGAGATCAATTGACTCTGATATCTGCAATTGAGCTTCATGGATTTTGCCTTCGCGTTGCATGAAGAGTGAGACATCGTTTATCCCCTTACTATCTTTATGGTGGATTCAGTTCATCAAATTGGAGCTCACTTTCTTTTAAGGATTAGACTCTTTTCTTTCTCTCCTACTCTAATTAAAGGGGGAAAAGGATCAAATTCTTTTCTTTCTCTCTTACTTTTTTGTTGTGAATTTTTTGATTGCGAGATTCGTAGAGAAATTCAAGCACTATCGCTAGGTTTCGAGAGAGAGTTAGATCAAGGGGCAAGGCTTCTATCTTGGACGAAGAGAGAGGAGCAGAGATAGAGTATCAAGATCAGGCTAAAGAGGAAAAACGGGATTATAAGAAAAGAAGGGAAATGATCTTGTGAGATCCTCCCATACTCATGTGTGTAGGACCCTAAAGGAACACCATTAAAGTTTGTACAGATCTCTAGAAAAGTCAAGTCCTACACCCATGTGATAACTTTTCTAGAGATCTTTGTCAAATTTAAAGGTGATCCAGGTCCTACACATATAGGTGTGGGAGGGTCTCATAGGATCATTACTCTTATAAGAATAAAAGAATTTCAAAAAAAATACAAGGTTTACCAGTTCTATGGATGCCCCGTTTTCGTTAACTTCGTCAAATCAATCTCACCTTCCAAATTAATTAACGGTGAGGAGGGCTGCCGCCTGACTTATTTGGATAGGGCGGCAGCCCCATCAAAACATTTTCCTTGTTTTGATGGTCGAAATGGACCAGGGCAGGGCAATACACTTTCACCCTCAAGTGCCATTTTAGGAGACCTATAAACAAATAGATTTAGTGTGTCAAAACAAAGAAAGAGAAAATATCAATTACGAGAATGAAACCTTTTATAAAAGTATTAAAGAGGTCAAATAATCACAAATTACATGCAACCGTTCTATAGTAATATGATACAACAACCTTAAAAAATTATTTTATAACCATTTGTTTGATCCAAATTTCGAACTATACACGCTTTTCATTCTAATGAACAATCACAAAAAAAAAAAATTTTGAAAACACAATGTAGAAAGTATTTTTTTTAGTCCAATTAACATAGGCCGTTCATTTAGGTAAGATGCTTAGATCTAGGCCTTAGAAGGATTTTTTCATTTCCAATTGTTTTGGATGGCTTTATTATCAATAGATGAACAATTTTAAAAAATAAAAAAATGATTTCGAGTTTATAAAGACTAAGATCTTGAAATTCACAAAATGAATGGTCTAGATTCGTTTTTGGAGGGGACTCATTTTGAACATATCTAGGGCTCAAATTGAACTTTTGTTTTTGGGAGGATTGATTATTGAGATGAAGAGAGTGTGTGTGCAAAATTTGAGGTCATATAAATGCCACAAACATGGTTTTCTAGAAGTGTCGTTGCATTATACTATGATACAACTGTTGCATTGGATCATTGCTCTTTATAAAATTATTAAAGAGGTCAAATAATCACAAATTACATATAACCGTTTTATAGTATTATGATGCAACAACCTTAAAACCCCATTTTATAGCCATTTGTTTGATCCAAATTTTGAAAT